GGGGACCCTTTGCAGAGTAGCAGAAGTTCAAAAGAGATGCCGTTGTTGCTGTGCAGAGCCCTTTTGGCCATGCAGTGATGTTCCAGCTCTTCTCCTGTCTGGGCAAAATGATACAGGTTTCTAAAAGCTTTAAAAATAATTAATTGCAGGATAAAGGAGAAGCCAAACCTCTCTCTGTATCTCACTTGACTGAATCATATCTTAATTTGTTGTGTGTTTCCCTGCTGTGAAAGAAACTGTGATTACATTTGCAGACAACATGTGAAGTCAAAAAGACAGACTTGCACTACAGAGTAATCAAGGAGGAGGGGAGCAAGGGGAAGTGGAGGAGAGGAGGGAGATAGGACTTGATGTAACAAACATTTGGACAGTTTTGGAGTAGATCATCCGAGACTCTGGCATCCTGCCCTGGCAGGTGAGTGAGAACAGCTTTGCACCTCTGAAAATCTGCCCTATAAAGATCTTCAGTCAATGAGAGAAAACAAAAACGACATTGGGACAACCGAGGGACACCCATGCTCGCTGTCGCTCTGTTACACATCTTTTCCTCCAAGTAGTATTTTTACATTAGGGAAGATGAGGATGCAGGAATATGCAATAGGAAATGTCCATGAAAACACAAAACTCATGAAGAAATTCACAGCATGTGAACTCTTGTGACAGTGTAGGGTGTCATGGTCTTCCACACCTACTAGCTCAGACTGCTTTCAAGCAGGCTTTGTTCAGGTTGAACAGTTATGAGTGCTAATTACACCCTTTCTCACTCAGGGAGAACTGACCATGACAAGTGACATGGAGAACTTGCAGAATGCCCTCTTCTTGGACACGGTGCCTGAGTCCTGGATAAAGAGGGCTTACCCTTCCACAGCCAGCCTGGGCACATGGTTTGCTGACCTCCTGACTCGCATCAAGGAGCTGGAGGCCTGGACAGGAGACTTTTCCTTACCGTCCTCAGTGTGGCTTGCTGGGTTCTTCAACCCCCAGTCTTTCCTGACAGCCATCATGCAGTCCACAGCCCGAAAGAACGAGTGGCCTTTGGACAAGGTGACCTTGCAGTGCGACGTGACAAAAAAGAACAGAGAAGATTTTGCCAGTCCTCCTCGGGAAGGGGCGTATGTCCATGGTTTGTTCCTGGAGGGTGCGCGCTGGGATGCACAGGTAAGGTCACCAAGGCTCTTGTGTTGAGAGAGAAGCCATGGATGTTTTGCCTTTATTGCTTGATACTGTATTCTGGGGAACTTCTCAGCCCTGACAGGTGCTCATCCAAAATAGTCGTTTGAGTTTACTCTTCAGGAGCGGGAAAGATGTGAAAGATGGGCACCTCTTCTGCAGCCTAGAATGGGTATCCAGGGTGGTCAGGTGAATCACCCCTCGGAGTTGTCTGCTTTGTGACTGTGATGGCAGTTCAAGGTGGCCAACTTGGACTGATACAACTAGTTTTTACAAGATGAATCTCAGCCTCAGTGTACATTGACTAAACTGTGGTTGGTCATGTAGTAACACTCATGGTGTTACTACAGACAGAAAACATGGAGTCCCTTCAAGGCTATGTTGTCCCTGCACCTTCGCATGGTTGTGATTTCGCTGTTGCCTCCAAAGGTGACATGGCAGGCTTGCATTGTCATTACTTTGTCACCCATTTAGCGGCAGTGAGGAGAAAGGAGAAGACTGATTTCATACATGTCCCCAGCGCTGAATGGGTGGAATGTGCCAAATCGAGACCACTGCCCTTCCTTTGTTGAGTGTGACAGGATGTCATCTGCATAGATAGAACTTGTGGCCAAAAATTAATCACAATCTTTAGCCATCCCTTTAGGGTGGCAAATAAAGCTTACATGAAAGTCTGACCTGTATTGTCAACATGGACTCAGGCTGATACCTCAGCATGAGGCCAGTAGGCTGATCCTGGGCAAACAGATGGTGTGGATGGCCCTTGCTCTTCTTCTTTCCCCTACTGGATGTGGCCCAATACCTTTTGGTTGCAGCGCAGCCAGCCTCGGGGCAGCCAAGGTGAGAACCAGACCCACCAACCGGGCAGCTGAAGGGAAGCTGGTACACTTGCTAATTCCTGCCCGTACGGCTGTCAGTGCTCCTCTCGCAGTGCACCTCTCAGAGCAGCATCCCAGAGGAGCACAGTTGTCCCTGTCATTCCTTCTGACAGTTGGCAGCTGTTGGGAGTGCAGTCTGCAGAGTGAGAGCCATTAGACTGGCAAATCCCCGCTGGGCTTGCTCTGACGAGTTGCCTGGGCTGTGCCACCACAACTCCCAGTTTGTTCTGCATGTGAGAATCAACTGACAGTGACTGATGCAGCTCTTGCTCTGGGCAGCCGGTGTGATGCTCCTGCTGCCCGTGGTCTGGGAGAGCGAAGGCTGATCAAAGCGGGTCACCCACAACTTACTTATCTGTGTCAAGATTACCCCCTCGCAGGAAGAGACTTCTATTTCAGAGGCAACTCTTCAGAGTCTTGACCTTGAAGGTCCTCCTGTGTCTCTTGTGCATCTTGGTGTAGGACGCTGAGGAGAGAGGCCATGCTTGTTGTATACCGTATGCCAACCTGACCATGCAATTCAGATCTAATATTCTCCGCTTATTTTTCTGCTCCCTCTCTGAAATAGTTTTCCAGGAAGGATAGGAAATTAGGCAAAGCTTTGAACTCACTGACTGATGGCGTGGGTGCATTTCATTGCAAATCCTTGGAAAGGTCAAAGCTCCATTTTCTCTCTGGAAATGGGTTGACGTGGGCATTGTGTCTGGAAAGCCACAGGCAGTCAGGAACATTGGCAAAGGCTCTGTCAGAAGATTGCAGTAAGGATCTCATGCAGGTTTAAGGTCAGATCTCCTGCCTCGCTGGTTTCGGCTCTGCTGACAACAGAAATCACAGCAGCAGAACAGGGACCAGCCCAGTCCATTTCCCAAGACCTGGTCCTACAGCTCCCTGCCTGTTCCCTTGTCTAAGCCTTGGTGTGGCTGGCGGACAAAACTTATGGCTCTTGGAGATCACAACCCCTTACTACTGGGAGCACTGGATTTCTGTTACCCTCAAAAGCTGATATTTTAAGGTGATACAAATCAGCTGGACACAACAGTACAAAGAAAGTTTTAAAAAATTCCTGGTCTTCCATATCGAATACTGCAGTAAAAACAAATTCCAGTGACTACTGTTATGTTTTCCTTTACCATCATTACCACCATTGCTAGAAGATAAAATGGCTGAGTTCTGCCTAGGTTTTACCCATCCCCAAGTGATAATGGAAGAGTGAGAAGTTTTGGTGGTGCAAAGCCAGAAATCTTTCGGGAAACACATGGCTTCTCCCCTCTATCTCGCTCCAATAACTTGTCTGGGTGATTGCATTAAGACAAACATCTTCAGAGACCGTCCAGACTTTAGTAAATGTGGTTTTTCTGGTTGCGTTTTCCTTGTGAAAGATAGAAAGATACTGAGCTATTACACTCCTAGAACCATTCATAATGTCTGGGTATCATGCTCAACTTATTTCAGAAAAGAAAAATATATTTTCATATGCTGCTGCTCACACTGAAATACGGCTTCCACTTAGAGGAACTATTCATTTTACCTGTAAGCCAGTGAGAACCGGTATATATTAATGGAAGCAACATTTTTGAAATAGGTGCGCAGTTCTTTTAGGTTGTATACTTCTTCCAAATTAATCCTCTGATAAGAACGGCTGGTCCTGTTTAGAAGAAGTCCTCTGGGGAACACCTCCACTTTTAACAGAATATTTCACATTTAGATTGTGCCTCCAAAAAAGGAAGAAGTGCCTCTATGTTCTGCTACTCACATTTTCCTATGTATTTAAACATTTATGTTTGCCCTTGGGTGCCTTAAATTTATAAAACATTCATTACAAAACAGCAGGCAGCTATTAGAAGAAATGAAACCAAGCGGGTTGTTTTGGGTCGGAATGACCTGTTGCTGTAGCACTGTTAAAGTCAGTAGGACTCAGTGAGAGATAGTTTGACTGGTGACACTGTGGGATGTTTTATCTCAAGCCATGAGAGATTGCTGACTGATTCCTGGCTTTCTTGCTCCCAGCAATGGACAGTTTGATGCCAAGTATGTGCCCAGAAGATGTGCAAGGGAGGAGCTGGGTTTTGCACCACATGTGCCACAGGAAGCTTTGCCAAGCATAGCCAGCACACCACCTTGTCCTTGGAGGAGATGCACAGTCAGTGCACAGCACACTGAGGGTATCGTGCCTCCTTCAAGCCTCACCAGCTACCCTTTCTGTGTACTTTTTAAAACTAGTCCTGTGTAAATCACCAGTCTTAAACCAGTAGAGAGGTTTAGAAGGGCCTCTTGCCTGTGTGGCGGGGAACAGTCACGTTTATTTGATGGTTCAACTAGCTCGATATCTTTGGGAATGGCTGCACAGCACTCATTTTTATCTGAGATGCTGCCAGCAATGGATGCAGATGAAAACATCAGTGTGCGACCCAGCCCTGGTACAGCCCAGTTCTGGTGCTACAGTCCCAAACATCACAGCTTGCCGTGTTCTTCTGCAGAGGCACCAGGTACATCAAATCTCACACATCAGAGACTGAAATTTTTCCCAGAGGGGTGAGCTGGGATATCACGTGAAGCCTTCTCCTGCAGATGTCAACTGTCAGTAATGCCCATGTATCTGTGAGTTATGAGAATGAGAGTGGGATGTGGCTCAAGCTGAGGTGTCCAGTGATAAACGTAAAATGCAGCCATGGAGAGGGCACTTGCAAACTGTGCTGTGAACAGCCATTCTCTTTTTTATGGTTGTTTTGAAAAATTAGTAACTTGACAAACCCTTTTCCATCTGTATCTCAACTCTTACACTACTCAGTGATAAAAATTCCTCTCTCATTTAGTTTTAACTGGACAGCACATCATTAGGTCTTCTTCACTGCGTGCTCCACGGATGGCTCTTTTTCTTGTTCCCGATGTCCGACTGAAGCCACTAACTCCAGCAATCACCTTAGAGTGATGTTCCCTGCTGGCTACACTGCTTGTCAGATCACTAGCCCCCCTTTCCTGCAAGCAGAGGCAACTCTATCTGAAAGACTACCAGGCCGTGTTGAAGGTCTTTAAGCCAACTACCCGAAATTAGCTGTGGTTCAAGTGCAGCTATGAGACACCTCAAAAGGCAGTTGAGTGGGAGGGGATGTTGGCTTACTGCATGTGTGTTTGGGCCCATCTATCAGCATCCCTGGCTTGTGACACCTGTTTTGTGTCTTTGGACCCATTGAGGCACTGGACCAGGTTGCCCAGAGAAGTTGTGGATGCCCCATCCCTGGAAGTGTTCAAGGCCAGGTTGGATGAGGCTTTGAGCAACCTGGTGTAGTGGAGGGTGTCCCTGCCCATGGCAGGGGGGTTGGAACTAGATGGTCTTTGAGGTCCCTTCCAACCCAAACCACTCTATGATTCTATGATTCTATGACACGTGGCAGCGTAATATATCCACTCTTCAGATCGCCTGTTGAGAAGCCAGGACACGCAGAAGTGAAGGCTTCTTTAGGATCTGACGCCTGAGCTCTCTGAGCTCAGAACCGTGGCTTTTTACCAGGTGTGCTCTGCCAGTAGTTAGGGAAAATTGCTTTCAGAGTAGAATTAATTTCTGACGATGAGAGCGATAAAAAATGCAAATGCAAATCAGCCCAGACATAACAAAATGATATGTTCCATAGAGATATCTCAGGAAGATTTCAACTCTTGTTAACCCAGAAATAGGTAGAATATATCATGGAAATTTGATTTGAAGAATTGTCAGCAGTAAAAAAAAAAAAAAAAAAGAGATCTGATCAAAATCCAGCCTCAGAAATGAAAGATATGAATTTTAAAAGAGTGCATAATAATGTTTGATAAATAGCTTCTTTGCAAGGTATTACAAGAATTATTTAATGTTTGTTCAGCATGTTAGAAATATAAAATCCTAAATTGGAGTTAGATTTATCATAGCTTAGTATAACAGCCTTAGTACAATTAAACTGAGGTGTGTTGCAAGAGGGATTATTTTTCTTCACTCATCTGCAGAACTAAATAAACTACGAGAGAGGTTGAATCTCATCCCACACCTCTGATCTAAGAGCTTGAAATAATAATGATATGTGAAGCTCAGCTGCAGTGAGAGACAGTTTCTTTAGCACTGACAAGTTTTATTTCCATTTCTGTGTTTGTTTTCATTTGGTCTCTCTAGCCTCCATTAAGGAATTTTGCATGCTTTCCCAGAAATTGATTGATGTGTAGGGGATTTTATTGTCAGAAAGAGAAACAGAAGTTGCCAGAGAGACTCAAGCTAGAGAAACAAGCCATTGATCTCATGCCCTGACACATGCTGGTGTGGTTTAGCCCAGCAGATCACACAGCCACTGGCTCACCCTCCCTCACCCCCAGGGAACTGGGAAGAGAATTAAAGGGGAAAAGGGAAGGAGCCTCGAGGCTGAGATAAGAACGAATGAATAGTGATATAGAATTAAAAGTAATAATGATGAAATAATAGTAATATATGAATAGATAATGATAATAATATGTACAAACAAGTGATGCGACAAAATAATAGTAATGTATGAATAGATATAGATAATAATAATATGTACAAACAAGTGATGCACAATGTCATTGCTCACCACCTGGCGACCGACGCCAGTGCAGTCCCATTTAGCGATCCTGAAACAGGCAAGTCCTGACACCACAAACCCAGATAAGTGAGAGGCCCAAAAAAAGAGAGAGAGAGAGAGAATTCTGAGAGACCAAGAGTCCTAGAGAGCCCCCCGAAAAGGTTTCCCAGAAGAGCCAAGAGCTTGTTTTCCTGATCAACCCTCATCTATATACTGGGCATGATGCTGCATGATATGCAATACTCCATTGGCCAATTTGGCCCCAAATCCTAAGTCTGAGTTCAAATCCAAGGGCAGTTGTGGAGCCTTTGTCCTGGCCATGCTCCCTGCACCCTGTTGTGCTCCTGCACACTGGCAACACACGGGAAGCTGGAAGGTCCTGGATGTCTCAGCACCAACTATCAACACAGTGCATTATCAACGTTCTTCTCATAGCAAATCCCATAGTAAATCCAAAACGCAGAGCTCTTCTAGCTCCTAAAAAGAAAAACTAACTCTGTCCCAGTTAAAACCAGGACACATACCATCCTTCTCCTGGATTGGGCAGCCTGATGAGCAAGGGCATTGCTTTGAAGAGGATAATGTCAACTTGTTATTTAATGATAATATTCCCTCAGGAACAGTTCTTCTGAATCCGCCTTGCTGGTGTGACGACCTGTGAGAGTGGAAACAAGCCTGTGGTGCCTTTTGGGGCCACACAAAACACTGCGTGCGTTCATTGCCCAGACAACTGTATCCGAGGTCATGCTGAAGTTTTGGTGGTGTGTTGGGATGCTTACTTGGTGCCTTTTAGACTCTTCTAAAGTGAGCATTGTTCTGCATCCCGAGCCCTGTTCAGGTGTCCATAACTGGTCTCAGCACAAGCAGTGCTTCCCACGAGGTGGTTCTGGTCTGGCAAAACCTTGAGGAAGAGCTGCATGAGGATGTTGTGGCTGGACATAGGCAGGAACATTGTTCCCCCTCAAAGTCTTGCTCAGGTGTGGGTGGGTTTGAGCATCTGATGAGAGCAGGTATCCTGAGCATCTGATGAGAGCAGGTGTCCGTACCCTTGGAATAAGCTATGCTTGAGGGGAGCTTCTGATGAAACAAGGTAGGTGTTTGATCCAGACCCTCTGTACCTCAAATAGAATTATCCACCCCCTTGATCTCAGGAAAGATGTTTGCACCAAAAAGACCTGCTTGTATAAACATTACAGAGAATCATGCGTATCGAGGTACAGCTGATGATATCTTGGAAATCTAACTACAACTTTGTCTTCTTTCCTTTGTAGACTGGGATAATCACAGATGCCAGGCTCATGGAGCTAGCCCCAGCCATGCCTGTCATTTTCATCAGAGCCATT